AGAGACACAGGCCCACACTCCCTTTCTTCAGCATTTAAGAAAGGAAAACTTAGTATCCCCTGTCGTGATCTCTGATAGTGCCACTGCACTCCAGCCTGGGTGACAGAGGGAGACCGGTTTCTAAAGAAAATGTTTTTAACCCAAACAAAAAAACTTAGCATCCTGATGAAACCCGACAATTAATTTGCACTTCCTCTCTCTGTGCAAAAGACTTACCATCCCAAAGTTGCATTGGTCAGGATCGCATCGAACAGCAGTGTTGATAAGCCAGCTGTGATTACCTGTGGAAATAATTCCAACAGAAGGCCATCAGAGCAGCAGGACTCCAGTAACCTCTGAGAAGTCAGTTTTCACAAGCTCGTTGAGCATTAGTTTCAGATCCCCGACATGTGCTGTTTCTACCAACTGACCTTTCCCTCACATGCCTCCTAGTCCACTGTACTTAGTGCTGCCTCTGAGCAAAGCATTTGGTATCGAAAAGGCTAAGTTCTATTATGTTTTGGAGGTGGGATCTTCAAAGAAGCATTCAACTTCCAAACTCTTCAAAAGAGGGAGCACACAGCCAGCATCTCCTGCACCCCTCTCCAGCAAGGGGGAAAAGAATACTCATTTTCATCTTGTCTCAGCAGCGCAGAGCTCATCTCCAAGGTCAGGTACACTTGTTAACCTGTTCCCAAATCCTCCAGACAAAAACTTATCTGACCCCTTGCCTCTGTCCAATATACCGTCTCTCCCATCTCTCCTACTGCCTCATCTTTCTGGACACACATTCTAGGAAACCAGGTGCTTCCTGGGGAAGGAAGCAATTAAATAATTATTTGCAAATATCTGGAAGGCGAAGGACAGGGAAGAGATTCCCTCCATCTCTCTCAAGAGCCAGAAATTCCAGAAAAGTCTCTTAGGAATGGCAATCACAGGGCTCAGACTCCAGAGGGGACTCTCAACAGTAAGCACAAAGGGTGTTTGTGAACCATTCGCCCAACTTTGTCCTCACTTGAAATGTCTGCTGGCTCGGCGCCTGTGGCTCAACCGGCTAAGGCGCCAGCCACATACACCTAGGATGGCGGGTTCGAATCCCCAGCCCGGGCCCGCCAAACAACAATGATGGCTGCAACCAAAAAATGGCCAGGCGTTGTGACGGGCGCCTGTGGTCCCAGCTACTTGGGAGGCGGAGGCAGAAGACTCGCTTGAGCCCAAGAGTTGGAGGTTGCTGTGAGCGTGATGCCATGGCAGTCTACCCAGGGGGATAGCTTGAGGCTCCGTCTCAAAAAAAAAAAGAAATGTCTGCTTATGAAAAGATGTTTCTTGTTTCCAGAATTCTGCATTCTGCAGGTCAAAACAGCCTCCACGAGGAAGGTTAACCCCGAGGACATTCTCTCTCGCCATAAGAAGTGGACAGCAGGCTGTGTTGGGGTTGGGATGAGGGGCATTCAGGCTGGAGGGCCTCAGAAACATCAACTGCCATCTCACTCCAGGGGCGGCCTGTGCTATTCCAGAGGGCTCTTTGGGTCTCCAGGTGGGGACAAGGCAACAAGCAGATGGCAGAAGTATGTTTGATGAACGTTGACTTTACTCATTTACTGTCTCTAAAGGAAGTCTGGAACTACAAATCGAGAATATTCAGGATATAAACTTGGTGAGATTTTGGAACCTTTGTAGTTTACCAATTTGGGGTCACTTTTTATTTGCCTCACATTACTGACTTGCAGCCAAAATGTTAACTATAGGAAAAATCTGAGTATTATCTTCAGGGGCAAGGAAGAAGTAGAAACTGGGTCAGAGAGACAACTGCAAAGCAGAACACAAAAGATAAAGAGAAAGGGGTTTCCCACAGTGGTGAGGGGTACTTTTTTTTTTTTCTTAAAGTGCATGATGAATGACAACTGTCCCTTTTTTCTTTTCTTTACAAATTTAACTTTTGATTTAGGACTTCTGTATCTATGGTCACAAATGAAATGGGCCTAAAATGTTATTACCTTGAATGCCACTGTCTGGGTTTGGAAAGAAGGTTATACTAACCACATAAGTGCATTCATCCGCTTCCCTGCTTATTATCCTATAAAGAACGAGGATGATCTTGACTGTGAAAGTTAACCCTGATTTGAAGGCCCTGGACCGGGAGTTTCTAGCACAGGGTGGCCTTTAGCAACTATTGTCCTAATCAAGTCTTCTCTCTTTGTTGCAAGTTTTACATTTTCACTTTTCCAAACATGTGTTTCATCTAGCTTTTCTAAATCGTTAAACATTTAGCTGTTTGGAGAAATATTATTTTACATTGTGAATTTTTTTTTTTTTTTTGAGACAGAGCCTCAAGCTGTCCCCCTGGGTAGAATGCCATGGCTTCACAGCTCACAGCAACCTCCAACTCCTGGGCTCAAGCGAGTCTCCTGCCTCAGCCTCCCAAGTAGCTGGGACCACAGGCGCCCGTCACAACGCCTGGCTATTTTTTGGTTGCAGCCGTCATTGTTGTTTGGTGGGCCTGGGCTGGATTCAAACCCACCACCTTAGGTGTATGTGGCTGGCGCCTTAGCCACTTGAGCCACAGGTGCCGAGCCACATTGTGAATGTTTTTATTACTTCCTTTTTTATTCTTCTTTTCATTGTCATTTTTCTCTTCCTATTTTTTCCTTCATTAGTCTTGACTGAAGTCAACTATCTTGTTAATCATTCTTTCCTGTTGCAACTTCTTGGACCGTTCCTGGGATAGTGCCAATGGGGATATATTTCTTGGACTAGATGAAAAAGGCTCCATCCTACTCATGACTGTTAGCTATGTCAGCAGCTTGGTGTAATGGAACAAATGTTGAAACAACAAGTGTTGAAATCACTCAACTTATGAAAAACCCAATTTGCTGGCTGGCCACGGTGGCTCACACCTGTAATCCTAGCTTCCTGGGAAGCTGAGGTGGGTGGATCACTTGAGCCTAGGAGTTTGGGAACTGTCTGAGCAAAGCAAGACCCCATCTCTACTAAAAATAGTAAAATCAGCTGAGTGTTGTGGCAGGCGCCTGTAGTCCCAGCTACCTGGGAGGCTGAGACAAGAGGATTGCTTGAGCCCAAGAGTTAGAGGTTGCTGTGAGCTATGACGCTACTCAGGGTGATGGAGACTCTCAGGAAAACAAAACAAAATAAAAAACCCAACTTGCCTTTTCTATTTCTTCACCACTGCCTTCAGCTCTTTTGTCCTTGTGCACCAGCTCTTCAAGGCCTTCTTTGGTGGGGATCTCGCCTTATTTTCTGATTGCTTCCTTCACAAGACTCTTAGTCCAGCCTCCCCATGAACTGAGACACACACAGCCTGGGACTTGTGCCTCTGTTCCTCCGTAACTTAGGAGGACTCCTGTCTGCCGTGAGATGGGCAGCTGGCCTGCACTTTTTGCCAAGAAAAACAGGTCTTAAAATTTTCAAACCAGCCCTTACTTGAAAAGGAGTTGGTTCAGCAGCCACGCTGGTGCCTTTGCCATCTGCTGTTTCCTGGAAATGTTTGTATAGCCTCCTGCCTTTCTCCCAAGCCACCTTTTCAAACTTCTCTGAAGTTTTATTGCTCAACGAGCTAGTTTTCTGCTGGCTGAGACGCTCATTGAAAGTTTACAAATAGGTTTGTCCTATTTTAGTAGAGAGCATGTAGCTTCACTTTTGTACTGGCTATGGAGCTATGGAGCTGCTGTTGGGTCACCAGGCCACTTGTGTGTCCATTTGGTGAGATCCAGCAGCTTCTCAGGCTTCTCCTTTACTTCCATCACTAGCCCTGGCAGCCAGCTCTCCTTTTTTTTTTGTAGAGACAGAAGACAGAGTCTCACTTTGTTACCCTTGATAGAGTGCTCTGGCATCACACAGCTGACAGCAACCTCAAACTCTTGGGCTTAAGCGATTCTCTTCCCTCAGCCTCCCGAGTAGCTGGGACTATAGGCACCCGCCACAACGCCCAGCTATTTTTTTATTGCAGTTTGGCCAGGGTCAAGTTTGAACCCGCCACCCTCGGTATATGGGGCCGGCACCCTACCCATTGAGCCATAGGCGCCGCCCAAGCCAGCTCTCTTTGTGGAGGCATTTTCTCTCTTTCACACAGACACATACAGCCACTTCTTGACAGTTACTTTATAAGAAAGGACAAGGAACCGCCTGTCTCCCACCAAGGACTCGCCCCCACACTGTTCTCACCAGGATTAAGGTTCTAATTCATGTCTCAGCAGAGTGACAGCTTTCTGTACACTTGGAAGTGAAGATGTTAATTCTGCTCACACCCAGGATCCCCTGCACTCCTAATTCCACTGAGGAGAAGCAGAAGACTGGAGTGGCTGAGCGTACCAGGTCTGGGGACAGAAGTTCCCACGCAAAGTCACCTGGGACAGAACATAAGAGGTGGGAGAAAGGCCTCCCTTAGCTCACAGGTGAGGAGACCGTGCCCCTGGGAGTAGAAACAAGTTCCTGACTGTGAGGTCAACAGCCAAAAACTCCAGGAAGAGCCCCACAAGCACCATCCAGCTTTTCTTTTTCTTTTTTGAGACAGAGTCTCATTCTGTTGCCCTTGGTAGAGTGCCGTAGCATCGTAACTCACAGCAACTCAAACTCTTGGGCTCAAATGATTCTCTTGCCTCAACCTCCTGAGTGGCTGGGACTACAGGTGCCTGCCACAACACCCGAGTATTTTTAGAGACAGGGTCTCACTCTTTGCTTAGGCTGGTCTCAAACTCCTGAGCTCAAGCAATCCACTGGCCTCCCAAAGTGCTAGAATTATAGGTGTAAACCAACATGCCTGGTTCATCCAGCCTTTTTTTTTAAAGAACCCACTGAAAACAGATACTTAATCAGTTCTGTGTACACCCATGTTCATAGTCACAACAACCAAAGCCTAGAAACAACTGAGTGTCCTGGGGGACGAATGGCCAGACACAAAGCGGTACAGACCTCAATGGAACACCACTCAGCCTTAAAAAGAGCAAAATTCTGCCTCACACTGCAACCTGGATGAGCTGTGAGAAAGTTACACTGAGTGAAACATGCCTGATGCAGAGGAAAAACACGGATTCCACACAGGAGTGACCCGGAGTTGTCATCGTCACAGAGAGGAGAATGGTGGCTGCCAGGGCCTGAGGTGAGCAAGGAACGGGGAGTTCATGTTTAATGTGTACAGTTTCACTCCGGGAAGAAGAAAAATGTGAGGAACCAGTGGACATTTGTACACGACGACACGAAGGTACTTACTGCCACTGACCTGTCCAGTTCTATGGCTAACATGGTAAATCTCATATTTATTTTAACACACACACCTATGCACACG